AAGCAGTGGTATCAACGCAGAGTACTCGGCGGAGTTTGCCATTTTTGGACAATTTTTGTTTCTCGCTTTCTATGCTCGGAAAATTTTCGGCAAAGGCATATTTAAGTACCACTACATGCGTTCTGCAAATGACCAAATTGGAGATCTGTAGGATTCTTTGTCTCAGAAATCCATTTTCAGGTGACAAAATTTTTTTCGATTTTGGCTCCAAATTGTACATGGAAGGCGACTTAGGCGGACTCTTGGCGGTCATTTTGTAGAACTTGATCTGCTCTATCGAATGATACCCTGATGTACTAGAAAATCAAAAACAGCTTGAGTTATTCGAAAAAGAAGTTTACTTTTGGGGACAACCTAATAGATGAAAGCCTGGGTTTTTCCAATCTCGCATCCAGTTTTCATGGTTGTCAAACCGTATTTGACCTACACACCAAAATAGAAAGTCTGCGCAACGATGAAAATTTCACAATGTTTCTTTTTGCTGCCATTTTTTCGCAATGAACAAAGAAAACCATTTAAGGGTTGGTCAGTGTGAATAAGGAGGCTGTCCACTTCAAATCGCAGCTGCGCTCGGATTTTGCGATATGCGCACAAGAATTACAAGCTCTCAAACTTGTCTTTGACCATGCGTGTTTTCGCAGTTGGCGTCGATTTTGTGAGGATCGTCAGCGCCTGGGTGATGGGCCCAAAAGATGTGCAAGACATTATCCCAACCACATTTGCAGCAATCAAGGATTCGAATCATTCCGTGGAAAAAAGAAGAATCATCATTTACTCAAGAAAATAGGGGTATTTTATTAGGTATTAGGATTTTTCAATTTTTTTGCGAAAAATTTTTCTTCCAGGCTGTGCTTTGAAATTGTGACGCATTCTATAAACAGTCCCCAGTAGAGTTCTACATACAATCCACCCGTAATTTGTGAAAAGAAATGGCGGCGCCGCGTGAGTTAAGTGCCGCCGCCATTTCTTTTCACAAATTACGGGTGGTATTGTAACAATGGATGAGCTGGACAGCTCTCTTCGTGTCTGAAGAATTCCTGCAAACAGGCCAAAACCTAAGTCGACTTTTTTTCTCTGTTGTTGGCTTATGGCCCGAAATGAAGTGTTGAGGACCTAACAGAATGAGCGTACCTTGTAGACAACATTGCCTTTGCAGCAGAATTTGCAGCTCTCAAAAAGGAGCGGTCTGCTTGAAGTTACAACAGATTCAAAATAAATTTCGCCCGGGAACGTCCTTTACAATCTAACAGTTACAAAAAAGGTATTCCTTATGCTTGGTAGACGTTCTCTATTATGCCCTCTCTACGTATGTTGATAATTGCTGCATCATCATCCTAATTACCCCTCTTTCGTATCGACTATGGCATAGCCATAGGCTGAATTGTGAGTCGTTTGTCCTGACACTTCGCTCAAAAACGAGTGGCACCTGTGCACCAGGAATGTAGCCAGGCGGTTTTAAGCGGATATTCTACACTACTTTGTACTTTGTACCTGGGTAAACTCCGCCTTTTTGCAGTACATAAGGAACACTCGAATGTAGATTAGATCTCTCTCTCTTTCTCTTTCTATCTACGCCGGTGCGAATAAACTTATTTTACAACTGGTCTACCCCCCTAATCATTTGGTGACCAAATGTAGATGATAGGTTAAGATATTGTACCTTATTGTGCTTCTATCTTGCATAGTGGGAATATAATATCTGTTGTTAACACATATCGTGTTACAGCTGACATCAGTATCACGTCGAGTACGACCCATACCCTCTCTGATCTCCTCAATACAACCCTTACGTGTGGCGTGCCACACCCCACGCTTGACTCTGCCTGTAAGTCTCAAAATCCTAATAGACGTCTTACAAGAAAAACCTTCTTAGTCGAAGTAGCCTTTCCACATGACACCTATGCCCATCACCAGACGTGTCTTTGAACGCTTCCACCTCTCATCTTAAGCTTAATGAACTTTCATATCATTCTCACAGACTGACCGATCAACACTCAAGCTTTCGTCCATTCCACTCTGCCAACAAACAGAGGAAACGCTCCTCTGCCTAGTGTAACGCAGTCAGCTGGTGCTCATCACAAGATTGATGCATTCGAGTTGCACTTTTTGTTACAAATCTTTCGGAAAGATGGTGCATCAACTTCTTAACTTGGTCCATTAGTGAAATTTCATGATGTGTTTACAAACATAAACAAAGTTTGGCGGTCGAACATTTCAGACTCAGAATACATGGCTGCAGCGGTGTTCTCGTCTAACCTTCGACTAAGTTTAGCTAGAGCATGGGGAACAAAAAGGTAGTCTCATTTTTGTAGATTAACACTTGAAAGCACTGTTTCAGCAAAACTTTAGTTTTCGTTTTCTACAAGATATATCCTGAAATGAGTTTGCTTCAAGCCTGCAAGTGCCGTTACCAGTGGCAGACGGCGGGAGGCCTCTCCCGAGAATGGGTCGCGAAATTTTGAAATTTTCTTACATGTATTATAAAAATGTGCAAGTGATTTGTTCAATTGCAAATGATCAAGACAATTTTTTATATTTTTTAAAACTCAAATTAGCCTTGTAAAGAATTTTTTGGGGAAACGGCTGCCGCCACGCCGCCTTTTTGTAGATTTTAGTATGGGCCCGCAAAAACTTTGGAAAGTGCCCCAAAAATTTTTGCGTGGCTCACACCGTGCATCCTTATTTAGAATTCACCCCCTCCCCCCCCCCCCCCCACTGTTCCATACGTAGATTTTTGTGACGTAGTAATGTTTACGATGCAGCTATTCCATCGCCCCCTGACCATACCAATTGGGAAGGGGGTCCGACAAGGCGACACAATCTCGCCGCAGCTGTTCACCGCGGCCTTGTAGTGGGTGATGAAGTTACTGGACTGGGACGAGAGAGGCATACGAGTTGACGGGATATTCCTGTCGAACCTTCGTTTTGCGAACGAAATCGTTTTCTTCTCGAGCAGTATCGCTGACGCAGAGACGATGCTGAAGGAACTGAACGAAGTAGGGAAGAAGATCGGATTGCGTATAAATCGGAAGAAGACTCAGTTCATGAGGAACGCCCTTTGCGAAGATGCAGAAATGGAATTGGAAGTACCCCTATTATGGAGACTTCTTCTTACGTGTATCTCGGACGTTCGTTGGACATGGAGAACGACTTGAGGGGAGAAGTTAAAAGGAGAAGAAGAGCAGCCTGGACCGCCTTCGGGCCTCTGAAGGAAGCCAACGACCAACTGACGGACCCGGAGCTTCGTGCCCAACTGTTCGACTCAACCGTTCTACCGGCGCTCTGTTACGCAGATGAGACTTAAACCGACACTATAACCACGTCGAAAGCTTTACGGACCACCCACAGAGCGCTCGAGCGCAGTTCTCTAAAGATGACCCGACGCGAGCAACATCTAGTCGGACTTCGCAGTACGGATATGAGAAGAATGTTCCGTCTTCGTGACCCAGCGGAATACGCTGTGAAAGCCAAACACCGATGGGCCGGTCACATAATGAGAAGAACAGATGGACACTAAAACATCTGAGTGGATTCCTCGCAAATCTCCAAACCTTCCGAGATAGACCACCGACGCGGTGGGCAGACGTGTTTGTGGAGCGGATGGACCAGCTGGATTCGACTTTCGCCCTTGGAACTCGTGGACGCAGCCACCACGACAACCAAGAAGATCGTGGATCTCTGAAGCGAGGGACGGGGATCAATGGCAATTTTTGTACTGAGGCCCGCAGTCACGTGAAGACGGGCCATCTAAGTATCTAAGCAAGTAAGATCTGTGCAGAAGCAAGCATGGTGTTGATGTTAGTCTTATTCTGGTTACAGGCAAATATTGATGCAAATATCGGGAATACAACGATTTTTCCATGTAATAGTTACGGAGGCACAAAAGCATTTACTCTATACGAATAGGCACAAATTCATGAAGGATCCTCGGACTCAATGAGACATCTCTTGCACGGAATTTGGAGTGGACGATTTTTTACGTTCTTTTTCCATTGCACAAGCATAAAAGCAGTCCATGCAGTTCCGGTCAAGAAAATATAGCACTCCATTCTTCGTAATTATGGACCCTTTTGGACATATTTTTTTACATGCATAGAGGCACTGCAAAAGCGATCGGGTTCTCAACAATGCAAGTTCACTAGGTTCAGACTTACCCTTTTGGCGATAACCGAATCATATCTATATCCATAGTTTTCTGGAACAGCGCACACCAGCATGACCAAAACAAAAAATAGTTTGCGGGACATTGTCCTCTAAATATTAGCATGCGAATATTTAGCAAACTCCACGAGCACAGGTTCTCTCCATGCTTACTGACTCACGAGCGCATCGATGGAGGTAATAGTGTAAACATTTTAAAAATGCTTATGGAATAAGGTATTGCTAGGTGTCCTCGTTTGCATCTGGAGAACTATCAGTATCAGTTGGGTTGACCACAAAGCATTGCTTGTGTATGCCCTCGCATCAAATCCTGTGTGGGTTTGATCTAAGGAATCAGGGTCAGATACTTAAGGGGCTCGCAAAGTAATTAACAGTCTGCATATGGTGGTCTGCTCACATAATGGCTGTCGGTAAGCGCTGACTCAGTTTTCTTCATGTCTATATTATAGCCTCAACTCCTATACAAGACGCTGGCTCAGATCTTGCAGTGGAATACGTATTTGGTGCACGAATATTTGTGATCTTTCAACCTTTGAGTACAGTAGTTGACGACATATAGATTATATATTTGATTATATGTTATTTGTATAGATTCAGATATAGATATTAGATCATATATTATTTGTATATATAGATTCATTATGGCTGACACCGAAACGTCAGCCATAATGAATCTATATGTACATAAAACAGCTGGAACTTTGCACACATACGTACTCGACCCCAGCGCTGGTTCAGGGCTACTTATCGCGGCGATTCATTGGGCCCTTTTATCGATTTATTGATTTGTTTACTCAAATCTAAGAAAATGAAAATTTTTCATACTCCAGCCGATCATTTCTCCATGATCATGTAAGCAGGGCCTTAGAGTCCATTACTATCTCAAACTCGGGAGGATGCCGGAAGTCGTCTCAAAGCGCTTTTTGCGCACATTTGAAGAAGTTTAGAAGCGTAAGTCACACGTTTTCTGAGCTAAACTAATGTGGAACCTCGGGTGAGGCCGGGACTATCAGCTAGTAAACAATCTAGGTGACAAGCTGAAGAAGAATATAGCTGTCACCATTGCTTGTTGAGCTTTTCACCTACTCCCATAATAGTTCTCCACTAGTCATTTGAAGCTCACTCACAAAATTTATAAATGTATCTCCCAAAGGACTGAAACCAAAATCTTCAACCAGTATAACATGTACGATTGCAGTTAAATAACACTGCAATACATTTCCAAGAACTTAATCAGTAAGAGTAACAAGAAGAAAATTTTTTTCTTCAATCACAGTGTACTATGCGTAGACTACAGTGCCGTCACCTTTGAGGCAATCATCAGGCATTCTGCGAACCTCTTCGAAAAAATAATTTCTTGTTCCAGTGACGTAATTGTCATCATATTAGAAAGGCGTAAAATGAGAAGAGATGTATAGCATTAGCAATACATGAGCGTCAATGATCTAACTTCAGATCCCCCCTTCCTCCTCCTCCTCCCACTACTACTTAGCCCAACGCTATGTTTAGAGTGAAGAACGGAAGTTTTGTAGTCACAGTGCTTCTATGATTTTCATGTAACTTACGAGAAGTACGATAAAAGTTTATGTTTGAGCCAAAAGTTTCTAAGTTGAAGATTTCATAAAATTACTGCATATGACGAGTCCAAATTTTGATATTGCTTAACAAGTTGCCAAAAAATTTTGCAGTTTTATGCACACAGAAGGGGACCTTGAGGAAATGAAGAGAACAGCAAAATCAAAGCTGGTCGAAAACTTGCAGCCGTCATCTTTTACACGCCTTTGGAATTCTTAACACCTTCCTGTATTAACGCAGATGCTCCCTTAAAGGCAGCGTCCCGGCAAAAGATGGGTGCCTGGTTTTGTGGCGATGTTAAAGACCCTAAGCGATGACTGAAGTTCGGAGCGATGACTAAGGTTCGGAGCGAAAGAGGGTGTCTACCAAGTTTGAAATTTGCTCCAATGGTCCGAATACGGTAGGCTCGGACGCCGCCCACAAAGCAATATCGATTCGCAAGGCCGGAGTGCGCATAGCGCACACAGTCATGAGCGCAGGGTCTCGCAACGACTCTGCATCTCCACCTCGCACTCGCCCGAGCCTACCGTAAGATTCCGGCCATTTGGGTGGCGATTTGTAAACTTCGTAAATCCCCTTTCGCGCTGCAAACTTCTTCGTCGCTCAGTTAGGGGGTGTACTATTACATCACTACCAGAGCCAGGTAACCCAGTCTGGTGGAACGCCACCTTTAAGCCTCAAGATATGCAATGCAATTAGCATTCATCAAAATTCAAAAGAAATTTTACAGCAACTTTGCTTTGAAGTCAAATGACCACAAAAATTGAGTCAATCATTAGATTGTCGCGAAGTAATGGGCTGATCGTACTCCGTCAGTTTGCACAATTTAGTGTCTATTGGTAGTTAGCGAATGTGGTAGAAAAAGCATTACTATGCATGCTTCAGAGACTGCCATTACCTTCACTCAAATTCGAAGCACCTTCCAGCTTAAAAATTGGGCTTAGCGGTCTAAACAGTTCTCAAACTTGGCTAAAATCCTGCGTTTACAAATATGAGCGCTGATCCGACGCTTGCGGAGCTTCATCGGAAACATGGAGACGCTACTGCTACGAAAAAGCTTCACATTCAGGAAATGTTCGACTTGTGAAGGAGGATATTATTTGCGAAAAATGCACAATCTTTCGTAGCAATAGCGCTTCCATGTTTCCAATAAAGGTTTGCAAGCTTTGGACTCGTGGTCGTCTATGCGAAAGCAGGATTTCCTTCGTGTTTGAGAATCTTTCAGGCCACCGAGCCCAACTTTTGAGTAGAAAGGCTTTGAATCTGAATCAATTTGACTGAAGATTTTGACGAATGTCAAGCAATGCTTTTTCTCTCACATTCGCAAACCATCACTAAACTCCAAATTGTACAACGTTTGCAAAGGAGCACGGAGCAGCCGATTTCTTCGCGACAACCTAATAATTTATAAACTTTTGCGGTCATTTGGCGTCTAGGCAGTTCTGCTCCGCAGAGTCTCCTTTTTTTAATTGAATAAATGCTGGTTGCACTGCATATCTCAAGGCTTAGGGGTGCATCTCTAACCCAACTATTGGAAGGCGACAAGTTTTCCAAAGCTGTTGAGCAGAAAGCGGCTGCAAGTTTTTGACCAACTTTGATGTTGCCGCTTTTGCCATTTCCCCCAGTGGCCCGTTCTTCAGTGTATGAGGCTGCGAGAATTTTCGGCGAATTGCTAAGCAATGTGATTTGCGTGCAAAGCGAAATTTGAACTCGTTATATGCAGTAGTAAGATATAGCAAAATTCGAGGGTGGCTGCAGATCTTGTTCAGCACTGTACAAAAATTTTTTCGATTTCTGGCCATAGTTGGGCAAGACTTGATTGCCTAGGAAAGCGTTTTAGGAGTTTACGATTGAGGGTGAAATGGAAAGAGCACTCTACTATTAAACAGTTTTTGAATCTGGATTGGGAAAGGGTTGACAGCAAAAAAGTCGGGGAAACGTATATACTGATCAGGAACGCGCTTCAACGACTATTTATGCGGGTTCGATGAAACGCCACTTTTTGATTCTTGGTATAGGAGATTGTAACTGTATTAATGTGTGATTGAAATAGATGTCTTGAAGCGGTCTTGAAAACTGAAAAGAGATAAAAGCTTCCAAACATCAAATCGAAACGCTAAAATACCCAGCAATAAAGTGACAAAAGCATCAATAATGTCATGCTACATTCGGAAATGGCGTGGAGATAAAATTCTAACACAAAAGCATTCGCATAAAGCAGAAACCTTGACACTTTCATCTGCGCACTTTTGCAAGTCTAGATGAATTATCTTCACAGAATCAAGATTTTTTTTTCAAGTAAACTCAGTTAGAGGAAGTGATAATGCACGTTAATGCGAAAAATTGCGCACATTCTTTACATTTAAATATGCCAGAACTTTTCTTGAGGCTGCAGGGAGATGGAGCCGCAAACACACGAGATTTGACTTTTGTTTGAACATGTGGTCTTTGCCCTGTGCATATGTCGTTCTTTGCCAACCTGCATGTGCATCGGCATTGTGCATTGTGCTTTTTCCTTCTTTTTATGCATAAGCATAACTGAACGAAATTTTCGAAGTTATATCAATTAGCAAACATAAAGGAGTTACTTTTACAATATGTACTACCTCCGCCCCTCCATCTCGTCCGCCACTGGTAAGAAAATCTACCACGATTGTTCATCAGTGTTTTAAAAGGGAACATCGTTGTTTTAAAAGGGAAAAATTGTTGGTAAGTGGTCAATTAAGATATGATGTTTATTTTCTGAAGAGCATTTATGCTGGTCCCAAATCTGTCTTCCTTATCTGCAAAGCATTTATTAACGAGGGGTTATGCCCTGATTCCGAATACGAGGTCGAAAAACCGCGAAAACCCGACAATCCTCACTCCGGAGTACACGCAGGCCGGATCTCCGAAACGGTGATTGGCTGAGCCGCGCACGGATAGGCGGACTTGGATGGGGAAGGCAGTGCTGTTTGGGAGTCCTCGTGCATCTTCGTTGTTCCGAAGCAATTTTCTTGCTTCCGAAGCCAGGTTGTGCGCCACGACTTCGGCATTGGCTTAATAAGGGACCCTACTATCTTATGCTGCCAAAAGCTCAAGACCCCTAACTTACGGTCGACGATGCCCCAATCTCTAAATTTTTCGGATAGACTAGTCTTATCGTGAATAATGAGGCTTCCAATCGCATATAGCGGTGGTGCAAGTAGGAATGCCATGTCGCCAATTTTGCATAGTAAAGTTAAAACGCCAAGTTGGAATCAATTCGATTGAATAAAGCTGTCACCTAATAGACCTTTTACTGTCAATTCAATTTCTAGACTCTTTTACGCTTTTTTAACATCCCTCCTTACACACATACCTAAATTTCTCGTTCCTTCCCTCCACCTCTAGCACTTCGATTCAGCATCTTGTAGAAATATCAAAAGATGTGCCTTTACTAAACGTTTTTTCCCATCTAACGAAAACCAAAATGTACAGTCACAGGTATTGTCTCGACATCAACAACGCAAACATTCTTCAAGAACAGCAACAATGTAGCAAACAGTTAGGTAACTTGTAGGATAATTCCCGCAAACTCGTTTGCTCCGTTGATAGCATTTATCTTATGCTTTTGCAATAGTTTTGTTTAGTCCACATTTTATCTCAGACAATGTAGATCGGGCAGATCGAAGTTTAAGTGGGATTGCAGGATGTGATAGCGGTAGTAGAAATAAATTCAGCAAATCATAAATAGCATTTAATTTGCTTTTAAGACCGATCTGTTCGTTTGATAAGGAGGCAGATTGCACGTTTACCTCATAGGTGCGATAGGAGGAGCCGGGCCCTCTCCAGGTGAGGGGGGTCTCCGCTCGTCCCATCCTTGTAAGGTGAAGGGGAGATACGAAGTGCATATGAAAATATCCTTGAAACAGTTACATTTTGACACTACTCGATACATAGTCGCGTACATGAATCTTTATGCCATTATAGATATAGTAGTAAGCGCAAAAACGTTTACAAGCGAAGACCAGAGACCAATTTGTCTCATAAGTGTGAAAAGGTACATATTCGAACTTGTCGTGGTATTGAGAGTGTATACATATATGCAATCAACTCTCTACATCACGCCATTTCACTTAATAGGCCTAATATTTGAGGAACCTTAGATCTCGCTAAAACTTCATCCACCGGGGTTAGACAAGCTAATTACGAACGGTACTCATTATGCTTGAAAGGGTTTCTTTATCATGCTTAGTGTTCGTATGTTGATGATTTCTGCATCAAAACCCCTTCCTATCGCTTATGGCATTGTCTTGAGTTAAATTGTGAGCCTTTTTTTCTCGCGTAGCCAATCTTTTAAAAAGAGCGGCAACTGTGACCTAGAATGTAGCCAAATGGCGGCTTTAAGCAGGTATCCCATACTATTTTGTACTTTGTACTCGAGTAAACTCCGCCTTTTTGCAGTATAAATGCAGCCCCCGTATGTGTAATGGATCTCTGTCTTATCAGTCTACACCGGTGCGAGGCATGCCACAACTCACGCCTGACCCTTCTTGTAGAATTCAAAATCCTCATAAACGTCTTACAAGGGTCATGGTGTAAGTGGCACATTGGCGAAAATCTGTACAAAAACAGCTGAAAGTAGGTAATCAAATTTGTTCAGGAGTATCGACTACAAGGAAAGAACGGAACCTGCAAAATCCACATAGATGTTTTTGTATGGCTTTCAATTGATTTAATGCAACATAAGGCATGACAAATGTAGACTTTCAAACACTCATGCATTTATTGGAGAGTTGCTCTGCAGACAGATTGGGATTCACGTTCAATGCTCTATAAAATGATATAGTGCCATCTGGAAAGGTCATTTTGATTAAAAAGGCTTCCCTTGTTAGTTTCAAACCTATTCTTGTGCTCATCTCCTTAGAAACTTGTTTCTGAGAGTTGCACTGAGGAAATTTGCCTATTAAATGTTGATTTCAGAAGGAAAAATCAGTTATATTATTGCACCAAAACTTCAAGTTGAGGTAACACTTAGTTGTAGAACTAGTCGGGGAAAAATAACAAAAAATTCGAGAATTGGATGCTTGTTTAAGTGCGCATAGACTCAGATGTTGTGCTGGATAGTAACATGTTCCTGATTCTGAATCACACAGTGCAGACAAAAAGCACGAAGTTTGCTCAATAAGATCAGTGAAACTTTATCATTCTCACAGAGTGACCGACTAACACTCAAGCTTTTGTTTTTTCTTATCACTCTCTCAGCAAACGGTGGAGATCTCTCCTCCCACCTCATAAAACGCAGTTCGGCTGGTGCTCATCAAAAGACTGATGTATTCGTTTTAAACTATTGAGTACGAATCTTCCAAGCAGTCTGGTGCACTAAGTTCGTAACGCGATCCTTTATAAACTTTATCATGTTGCATTTACTACATGAAGAAGGTTAAACGGTCAAATTTTTCAGACTCAGATATACATGGCTGCAGCGGTGTTCTCGTCTAGCTTTCGGCGGATTTTAGCTAAAGCTTGGGGAGCAAAAAGGTGGTCCTATTTTTTGTAAATTGTAAATACTTGAAAGACATTATTTCGACAAAACTTTGACAGTAGTTTTTTTACTAGCTGTATTCTGAGTCGAAAAGTTTGTTTTAAAGTTTGCAAAAGTGTCGATATGCATAGCTCTCTAGGGTGTAGTAATGCCTACTAAGTCCATAAAATTTCTCCACCTTATTGGGAGTGCAATTCAAGTAGTCATGAAAAGTAGACAAATCGAGTCAAAATCCTGCTGGTCTTGCATTTTCCAGTGATCGTTGAATATCACACAAGAAATATAAGCCTCTAAATTTAGCCTCCTGAGGCAAAATTTAGTATGTAACTGAGCAAAAACTAAGTCAAGATCTCCTTTATAAATTAAACTTGTTTGTTATTTCAAGCTTCACATTCGCCTTTAATACATCTCCTTGTCTTCGCCATGCACCTGCACTTCTCATCTTCTCTCACTCTTCGTATAGTACAATGAAAGTGAGTAGGCAGATTTCGATTTCGAGATAAGATATGTGTATCACCTTAGAGTAAGACGATTCCAGATAGGTTATCCAACAATCAAATTGTCTTCGGGTAACGAAATGCCAATTTTCGGACTTGGAACATGGTTGGTAAGCGAGTCGTTATGTACTATTCTTTGCAAATTACCATAAAGACCGCTAGTATCGGTGCGCGTTTTATCAGCTGAGGGCTAAATCACACCTATGGCAGTGGTTATATTAATTGAACAAAAAACTTCGCGATTGTTGTAAATTTTCTATTGTTTGAGTTGTGAACGATTTTAAACTCTTGAGTCCTGGCCATACGCGCAGCGATTTCATCGTCGCGATTTCGTCACCGTGGTCTGAGCGACGAAGTGACTGTTAAATCGCTGGTCGCGGGCTCTGGAATACTTGTACGATTGTGTGCAATCGCACACTTCAGCACACATTCTACGTAATCTTACTGGCCTCGCAACGAGCAGTAAATTCATCTTGACTTTTTTCGATTGCAGACTTTTTGTCGGATTTGTCATGATAACAACATTAGTAGTTTTGTTTTCCGTATGTATCGTTCCTAGAAGCGAAGTCAAAGTTTGCATTCCCAAAATGGATTTGGAGGATCGGAAACAAAAAATTGAAACACACAAGTGTGTCTTTAGACATGCATCATAATTAGGCCGAGCTATGAAAAAGGAAAAGGCGTTCCATCCTTGAAAAAGTGGAAATCGAAAAGCAGACCTTGGTTGATGGCACTATCGTTTATTTTTCCTCTAGAGGGAAATCCTTTTTTGCAACGTAGCATATTTGAGATTTACTCCTCTCTAAAGGGCTTTGTCAAACATGTACTAATTCTCTTTCTATTGCATGCATCCGGATCCCTGAAAGCGTGCAGTGATGGCAAGAAACGGAAACTAAGTGAATTCTCATTTAAAGACGAAGCCTGAACAAT